TTCTGTACTCCCGCAGTGTGGTTTCTGGTCCCAAGCACAACTGTTTGTTACCGACACTAACTGCACGCTTCCTGCGATATAGTAAAAAGCAGGTGAAATGCCTCATTCTGGCTGGTGGGGCTTTAAAAAAAATTCTTTATGTTTGAGGAGGCAAATTGCAATAAGCAAATTAACTCAAAAATAGCTTTACAAGCACCAGAAAACTTTGGGACAAAGTTTCTAGGAAATGCTGGGCTATCCTGTAGTGAAACTAATGTGAAAATCAGTCACACACTCATATTCTGCCCTCCTTCCCATACACTCTTCATACAGGTGCTCAGTATACGTGTGACCAACACATTCATCTCTTTTTCAGCTCCTCTCAAAATAAGTAGCAAACAATGTGCATGCAACTACCCTGCTGGGAACTAAAAAATATCCCGGAGACTCAGAATAAATTTATAAAGTCAGTGAGGGACAGGAGCAGATAGCACAAGTTGAGGCAAAATCAGCACCTCAGAGTAAAACCCTCTGGGTCTCACCCAGCCCCCCTCCACAGCTCGGCATTGCACCCCAAAACAGCCCCTAAACACATGCAGGGCTCATCCCCTATTTTTCTATTTTATTTGCTGCCTTTTTTTTGTTTTTAATGAAAGTCTCGTGCAGCAAATAAAAGTCAAATAGCTCTAATTTGTAGTGCTACAGACTGTAACATGCTCAGACGTGTAACTGCCTGACAGACTACACAGAAATCTGGCTTAGGCTCCAACCTCTGAAACAAATGCAAATATCCAGAAACATTCTGCTATTTCTCCAATATTAAATTACAAGTAAAACAAACCTACTACCAGATTTTTTCATACAAATATGTCTTTAAAAAAAAATCACTACAAATTTATTATTTATTTCAAACTATAAACAACACAGAGGAAAGAAACACATATACGTTTTCATTTTCAGAAAAAAAACAAACAACTTATCTATGAGAAAAGCAAACATATAGCTCCTTTTTTTTAAGTTCATTTTTTAATACTCTGCCTCTGAAATCAGCCTACAAGCCCATAGATTTATCTAGAGAAAACACAGTTGGAAAACCTTTTTATGTTGCACTGTTTTTGGACCCTTACAGGAGGTTTTTAAAGACAATTCACAACCACACTATTTCAAACAGTACAAATACAATTATTTAGAATTTATTCTTTACTGTAGCAATTTTTACTCCGGTATATTTTTCAGAATTTCCTGGGAAAACACAATCAGTCCCCATCTAGTTTAGCGCACCTATACTGTTACCTCTTTCTCTATATTTTTTCTGAACAAATCAACAACAAATGTTTTATAAGTGTTTACATATACATTGTAAAATAAGAAGAAGGACAATACCACAAGAGAAATGCTCAAAACCAAACGGAAGGTGTAAATGACCTCCTGCCATGTTCCAGACGTACCTATAAAACCCCTGCTCACTGGTACAGGATTATACATTCCATCATAAGTTCAGCCTTTTTATATTTTGTACTATTTTAACACCCTAAATTTATAGATTTTTAAAAGTGGCATGTTAAAAGGGCTTTATTTAAGAATTTCAATGAAAATAGTGTTATGTTTTGTCATATTACCATAATCCTTCTTTTTAAATCACTTAGAATTTCAGTATAACCTAATTAAGTAATTTTAAGTAAGTCTTAACCCAAATACATAGATCTAATAAAAATGTATTTTGCAAACAGGGAAAATAGACTTCTAAAATGGATTCCTCAGGTATGAACAAAGATGCTGGAACATTTCCTCCCCACAAACTCTGAGATCTGAACTATTTCACAGCACTTACATTTAAAACCAAAATACTTATAAGAAAACAAATTTCACCAAATATCTAGTATAATATTTCATCCCAATTGTATTTATTTATTCCTTTTATATTTGAAAGAAATCCTTCTATTTTCCTTGAGGAGAGAGAACAGGGGAAGAAAAATACTTAAAAATCCTGACTACCTATCTGCACATACTATTTATTTCAAAACTCTTCTAACAGCAGTTTATACTTTATTTTAGATAATGTATATTATTTTGCCTGTAGAAATATTATTATTTAGATTTCTGCCTTTTCAAAGGGTACAGAACAACATTATATATTTTAGAGTCTTCTAATAATTTTTAATCTCTCACTTTTTTTAAATGCTACAAACATCACATTTGGTAAATGGAATTTACATTTCTCTCTTGTCTTAATTATCAGAGTTGAATCAACAATTCAAACCAGGAAGAACAAGTGACGTACCGTAACACAACTGCAACTCCAACACTTTAACACAGCTCCTCTATCTATTGGTGTATAAAAAGCTTACACAAAGTATAAAATACCTCAGAAATACAAACTCTTTCCTGATCAGAAAATTTTACTTATTGACTAATTTGACCTCAAGCAACTGCATTTTTCTCAGAAAGAATCCTATCTAGAGCTTTATGCCATTTACTGACCTTTGCTTAATTAACCAGCATGCTTTAAAACCAAGTCTCGGCCCTTCAACTTAATCAAAACAGACTACTTTTAATTGCTACCACATCAAATATATTTGTCAACATAATAAAACCACATACAATTAGAAAGAACTATTTTTTCTAGCCCTCTCTTTGACCAACCAGAGATTTGTAGCATCTACTTCCAATTTATTAGCTA